GACTTTATGCAGTTTGATTTTCTGGCACTTCTGGTTGTTTATCGATTTTAGATTGGTCGTTAACCTCCTTTTAGTGGTACGAGGAAGTGAAAGGTTTCTACCCACACCTCCATCTTGGCCAGCATTCCTGTTTGAGTTTCTTATATATATTGGATATTAACCCCTTATCAGATGTATCATTGTCAAATATCTTCTCCCATTCAGAACGTGTCTTTTCATTTTGCTGGTGTTTTCCTTTGCTGTGCAAACACTTTTTAGTTTAATGTAGATCCATTTGTTTACTTTTTATTTTGTTTTTCTTGCCTGAGGAGACATATCTAAAAATATATTGCTGAGAGCAATGTCAGAGCATTTACTACCTACTTTTTCTTCTAGGAGTTTTATGTTTACAGGCTTTACACTCAAGTCTTCAATACATTTTGAGTTTATTCTTGTGTATAATATCAGAAATTGGTCTAGTTATTTTTTTTTGCATATATCTTACTGGTTTCCCCAACACTACTTATAGACTAGACTGTCTTTACCTTATTGTATGCTCTTGCTCCCTTTGTCAGAGATCAATTAAACATAAGCATGGATTTATTTCTGTTTTCTCTATTCTGTTCTATGTGTCTGTTTTTATACCAGTACCCTATTGTGTTGATTAATATAGCCTTGTAGTATAATTTAATATTAGGTAGCTTTGACTATTCTGTGTCTTTTTATGGTTTCATATAAGTTTTTGGATTATTTCTTCTAGTTCTATGAAAAATTCCATTGGTATTTTGATAGAGATACCATGGAATGTATACATTGCTTTGAGTAGCATGGATATTTTAACACTGTTAATTCTTCCTCTCTATGAACACAGTATATGCTGCCATTCATTAGTATCTTCAATTTCTTTCTCCCATATTTTATAATTTACCGAGCACAGGTCTTTTACCTCCTTAGTTAAATTTAGTTTTTTTAATGCAATTATAAATGGGATTGTTTTCTTAATTTCTCTTCCTGATAGTTCACTATTGGTGCATAAAATGCAACCAATTTCTAATTATTAGTTATGTACCCTCATATTTTACTAATTCTAATAGGTTTTTTATATATTATTTTATTTTATTTTATTTTTTTAAATAATTAATTTTATTTAGTTATTTTTCAAGTACAGTTTTTTGTCTATTTTTCCCATCCCAGCCTCCCCCGCCCCTTGCTCCCCACCTCCCTCCCATTTCCACACCCCTTAGTTCTCGTCCCTGTATCCTTCCTATTTATTCCTCCAAATCCCTCCCCCTTTCTCCCCTTAACTTCCCTTCCTTCTCCCCTCTGGTCACTGTCCCCTTGTTCTCTATTTCAGTGTCTTTGTTTTTATTCTGCTTGCTTGTTTGTTTTGTTGTTTAGCTTCCTGTTAAAGGTGAGATCATATGGTATTTGTCTTTCAGCACCTGGCCTATTTCACTCAGCATAATGCTTTCCAGTTCCATCCATGTTGTTGCAAAAGGTAGTAGCTCCTTCTTTTTCTCTGCAGCATAGAATTCCATTGTGTATATGTACCACAATTTTTTGATCCATTCATTTACTGATGGGCACCCAGGTTGCTTCCAACTCTTGGCTATTGTAAATTGTGCTGTGGACTCTTTTTTAAAATACATTTAATTGATTATGCTATTACAGTTGTCCCAGTTTTCCCCCTTTGCCCCCCCTGCACCAGTACCCCCTATTCCATCCCACATCCCCCCCACCTTAGTTCATGTCCATGGGTCATGCATATAAGTTCTCTGACTACTCCACCTTCTGTACTGTTCTTAACATCTTCCCAACTATTCTATACATACAAATTTGTACTTCTTATTCCCTATACCTTTGCCCCCATTCTCTCTCTTCCCCTTCCCAACTGGTAACCATCCAAATGATCTCCCTATCTATGATTCTGTTTCTGTTCTGCTTGTTTGCTTAGTTTGTTTTTTAGATTCAATTGCTGATAGTTGTAAATTTATTGTCATTTTTAATGTTCATAGTTTTGATATTCTTTTTCTTAAATAAGCCCCTTTAACATTTCAAATAAGAATGGCTTGGTGATGATGAACTCCTTTAGCTTTACCTTGTCTGGGAAGCACTTTATCTGCCCTTCAATTCTGAATGATAGTTTTGCTAGATAGAGTAATCTAGGTTGTAGATTCTTGCTTTTATCACTTTGAATACTTCTTGCCATTCCCTTCTAGCCTGCAAAGTTTTGTTTGAAAAATCAGCTGACAGTCTTATGGAATTCCTTTGTTGCTTACTCTCTACTTTTCTCTTGCTGCTTTTAAGATTACCTCTTTATCTTTAACCATTGGCATTTTAACTATAATGTGCCTTGGTGTGGTCCTCTTTAGGTCCATGTTGTTGGGATTCCCTGTGCTCCCTGGACTTGTATGTCTGTTTCCTTCACCAAATTAGGGATATTTTCTTTCATTATTTTTTCAAATAAATTTTTTATTTATTGCTCTTTTTCTTCTCCTTCCAGAACCCCTATGATTCAACTGTTGGTATGTTTGAAGTCATCCTAGAAGCTTCTTACCCTATCATCACTTTTTTGGATTCTTTTTTCTTCTTGCTGTTCTGATTGAATTTTTTCTTCCTTTTGTTCTAAATCATTGATTTGATTTCTGTTTCATCCACTCCACTTTTGATTCCCTGTGAATTTTTTTATTTTATTTAATGTAAACTTTATTTCTGCCTGAGTCTTCTTTATGCTGTTGACGTGCCCAATTATTTCCTTGAGCATCCTTATAACCAGTGTTTTGAACTCTGCATCTGATCGATTGCTTATCTCCATTTTGTTTACTTCTTCTTCTGGAGTTTTGTTCTGTTGTTTTGCTTGGGCCATAGTTCTTTGTCTCCTCATTTGACAGCCTCCCTGTGTTTGTTTCTATTTATTAAGTAGAGATACTTTGCCCCCTGGCTTAGTAGTGTGTCCCAATGTAGAAAAGCACATCTGTATGTTGGATGTAGTGGAGCCTTGTGTAATCACCTAGGTGGGACAACCTGTGTGAACCAGGTTGATGGAGTCTCAGATATGGTGTCACCATTCTGTGGCTCTGTGTGGGGGAAGGCTCAGAAAAGGGACAATGGCCAGTGCCTGGCCTCTGGAGTTTTTTCCAGGAGGAAGCTGTCTCCCAGCATTTTCCCTGTTGCTAGACAATTTAGTATCTTTCCATATGCTACCAGTGTCCCTCAAGCTGCTGTCCCTATGCTGGAGCTCAGAGGGAGTGAATCTGTTTAAGTCCTAAGTCTATCTATCGCAGACCCTTTAAGAGGAGATACCTGAGAATTCTACAGTGTCTTTTGCCACCCCAACCCCCACTGGTTTGTACAGCCGGAAGTTATGGGGACTTATGTTCCTGGCACTGGAACCCTGAACTGTGTGGTCTGGTGTGGAGCTGTGATCCTTGTCTTCCAAGATATCCCTCCCAATTTTTATCCAGTACATGTAGTTGTTGGAGCGCCCGTTTTGCATCTCTGCATTTCTGCCCCTCCTGTCTGAATGAATATTACTTCTTTAATTCCTTGGTTGTTGGACTTCCATACAGCTCAGTTTTCTGACTATTCAGGGTGATGGTTGTTTTGTGGTTTAGTTGTATTTTTTTTTGCTGTGGTTGTGTGAGGAGGCGAGCTGCATTTACCTATGCCTCCAAACTGACTGGAAGTCTCTGGTGGACTCCAAGATTCTCTCTATATAGTATCATGTCATCTGCAAATAATGGCTGTTTTACTTCTTCCTTTCTACTTTGGATACCTTGTACTCCTTTTCCTTGTCTGACTGGTATTAGCCAGGTTAATGGAGACTCAGTGTGCTGCCAGCCTATACTTATTATATCTGTTGTGGGGGCTCAACAAAATGGCACGGAGTTGCCCCTCAGGCTCTTGTCCTAAAGCCAATGATTTGCTTCCTTTCTGTATGTCCCTGGCACCTTTTGAGCTGCTGGCCCTGCACTGGAGCTCAGAATGAATGTGTCTCTTAGCAAGTAAGTCTGTGCCCAGGCCCTTTAAGAGGAAAGTCTAGGACTCCTGCATTCTTTCCTCTCATATGGACTGAATCCCTGCTGATTCTCACAGCCAGATGTTATGAGACTTCTCTTGGCACTGGTGGATTGGGCTGGGGAGCCCAGTATGGGGGATAGCTGCTCAGGGGAGACAACTAAAGCCAAGATATCCCTCCTAATTCTTAACTGCTTACATGGGTGTGGGGCAACCCATTTTGTGTCTCCATCCCTCCTACTAGTCTCCATGTGACTTCTTTATGTCCTTGGTTATAAAAGTTCTGCTAGTATTTAGGTGATTCTCATGTGTGGCTATTCTATAATTTAGTACTAATTTTGTCCACCAGATTTTTTTATGTAATAACTATGTAATCTTTCTCAATTTCATAGTTTCTTCTTTTGTAAATTAGAGATCATTATAATGTCTTTTACATAGCATTGTTGTATAAATCCAACAAAATAATGAAGTGTAACTGCTTTGTAAACCACAAACCAGTGATTCTTAAATAATTTGGTTTGACAACCTTCTTAATAATTTGATGAATGCTGATGATCCTTCCCAAATGTCCCACATGTAGACACAAGTTTTGCACATAATTTCGGAGGGTTCACAGACGTTCTGAACACCTCAGCTCATCACCTGCTCTAAAAGTCCTTACTGAATGTGAAAAATTCTGCATTCTGGACAAATGCAGAATTTTCCCAACTGGGCATACATTAGGGTGAGGCATTCATTTGTGCAATAAACACTTACTAGACCCTTACTAGGTACTGGGAGCGACAGGGACACAAATATCCTTGGAGATTTAAAGCAAAGGAGTCCCTTCACATGGATTTCTCAGGTAAGAAGTTCACCTCCCTGTGGCATCTGGCCTCCAAGTTTTCTGTCTGGTTACTCTCATCAGGTAGACGGCAGTGTGGTCACCTCTGATTTGAGACAGGAAATGTGTACAAAAGTCAGGAGATTTTTTTCCAGATTTATAAAGGTATTCTTTTCCCCAGGGCTTGATACACTGAAGGATTTGGGTGCAGACAAGCAAAGGGAAGTTGCGTTCAGCTTTGAGTGAAGCACAACTCCTCACAGGCCTGAGTTCTCCCGGTAAGAAGTCCTTGTGCCAGCGAAAGGCCATCTGTCACTCTTCCACATTCCACAGAGAAGATCTTGAAGACTGTTGCTGCCAAATCAGGTAATCAAATATTTCTGGCTACATAAATCAGAATTGGAATAAAAACACTTTCACTAGGAGCAGAGGTTTTTATATGTTTTTTAAAAATTTCTACAATTTGCTGTTTAAATCTCTATTCCACTTTCTAGCCTGAGAAAGCATAAAAAACATATTTCTTTATCTCCAAAATATCATTTAAAATATTGCTATTAAATTTGTCTATAGAGATATTAATTATTATAATGATTTAGGCTTGACTTTCAAAGCTCTGATTGAGCAGTGTATACATTGGTTATATAAAAAAAAGAAAGGGAAGCAGTTGGAATTTGGGAGGAGGTAGTGATATGTCCTACAGGTGAGACTTAGAAATAAACTCGAGAAGAAGAATCAAAAAGACAGGTGATCAATCTTGACTGGGCATGCCCAAAGGAAAATTAGGAATAGGCAAGAGTAGAAAACAGCAAATGGGGGTACTTTCCCCTATTAAGGAAATAAATTGCATTAATAATCTGAGTAATGTCCAGGCAAATAATCTCATTTAGATTCACTTGGTTTTGACTAGAAACTGGATTGCAGGAATAAAACAGAATTTCTGCATGGAACGATATTAGAAAGTAGTGATGTATGTTGAGAAAAAATAAGAATTTAATAGAAAATTCTATTGATTCAACTGGAATTCATGGCTGAGTTACCTACTTGTATAATTTGTAACAAATGTTTTTCACTTTGTGTTAAGGTTTTTATTTTCTGTAAACAGCAGACTAAGGTTCTGGTGCATTTGTAGAGGAAGGGAATGTAAGAGAGCTATGGAACTATAAATCCGACCTAAAGAGAACCCTTTTCTCTAATTCACCAAGCCCTAACCCGTGAATGAAAACAATGGAAGTGGTCAGCCACAAGAATTCAGGGACTGTTGGGGGAGCTCTGGAGAGTGGCACATCCACCCATCAGCTAGCCAGTCAGTCCCTCACCCACGCTCTCCGCTTTGGCCACACACATGTGAATCACCACCATGGCAATGTTAATAATGGACCCATGTTGAATAAAAGTTCATCTAACTGCCAGGGATTTCATTGTCTTCTGGAAGAAGACACTCTCATCTCCCTGGACCATCTGCATTCCTAGAGTTTGCTCTGCCTCTCCAGCTTATTTTGTGTTGTCTAGCTGGGCCTACGTGCAGAGGTCTTCTGAGACAATGCTTAGATACATGTCTGGAATGCTTTAACATACCATGGAACCAACTCCCACTCTCATTTTTGCTGAGGAAGCGATTCACAAATGCCCGAGGAGCCCTCTGGCCACAGACAAGCAGTTTCTTGAATCTTTAAAATGAGCCAATGAAAATAATACCTTGAGTGAACTTCTGCCTCCCTTTCACCTCTGACCTGTGGTCAGACACGTGACTGTGAGGGTTGCCAGATGGAAATTGTTAGTGAATATCTACATTTAACAGGACTTTTATTTATGACCTAAGAGAAGCTCTCATCAGTTATCCTGTGGGCTTGACCTGTGTTTAATACATACATAAGTGACCTCAGTTGTGTGTGTGAAACATGAAACCCTGTGTTTGGAGAAGGCTTGGACTCTGGAAGAGAGAAAAATGTGTCCCCTCCAAGATTCTTTACCAGGAACCAGGTGCCCAGGCTGAAAGGAGGATGGGGAAGCCAGTCCAAACTGTTAGGGCCTAATAATTATTCGGGGGTCCAATGCCCAAATAAACATGTTCACTGAGTTTGAAACCCCTGCTCAGCGGTGCCGACAGACACCATCATCTCCCCATATTCTGATATCCCGGAGATTATAAAGGCTCTTTATAACTAAGACAGGCTCTTTTATTTCACAAACCTCTGCAAACCAAGTATTCGTCATCCATCTTTCCCCAATCTAAACATTTTGTGGCTCTAGATCAAGCTTTCGTTGGAGTCTCATCGATATATTCTAAAAAAATGGAGCATAGGACCAAGGCTCTGGCAGCATACTTAGTCAACCTCAAGGGAGAGGGTGTAAGAGAAATGGGTTTCCTCATCTCCAGGGGTTTTTTTCTGTCAACTCCCTGTGTTTTGTTCCATCTTTAAACTGTGTGTATGATCTTTAGCTTCTCTGCTCATTAAGTATTTGGGCAGATGGATGCAAATTGATGAAACACATATGGTTCAGTTACAGATTAACAACCCTGCTGCATTGGGTATATTTGATTAGTGAATGCTACAAGTATCTTGGTAGTTTAGAAGATAAAAATCATTTAGCCCATAGAATCTATTGCTGAGTTTTAGTTACTGTATATTTTAGCTTCTTATATAATTCCCAAAATGTACTTTCCAGTATTCTTATATAGCATTTTAGAGAAACGAGCAGAATCATCAATTTGTAAATGGAAAACTGAGGTAATGAGAAAGACAGGCCAGAGCCACACAGCTGAAAACCATTGGCGGCATCCAGAGGCCTGTGTTTTCCTCAGCAGAAGGTGCTTCCTCTGGGAAACATTCTCATTACATCATCAGTGTATTTTTCCAGACGCCAGGGTCCCCGGGATATAGCAGCTCCGTCTGGGAAAACATTTACCATCCCTCAGCAAGTATTAGATCTTTGTTTGCTCATTACTTTTTCTCCTATTTTCCCGGTGTGTGCATATACAAGGTGGGGCATAAGTCAGTTTATAGTTGCTTATATAGAAAATAATAGAATAATTAATAATGTAAGAATAAACTCTGTGTTTCATGTATTCATAATTATAACCCTACTTTTGGCCCACCCTATATGTGTGTATATACCCTTTTCCTTAGAGATTACCAATGCACAAAAGACTTTGTGAATTTGGATTAACATTTAATTACTTTGCTACTATTTTTAATGCCAGTGTTAAGTGGTGTCTTCTGAAGACCCATGACTTTCACACTATTTTTTTTATTCCAGAACAACAACCCTCTTGGCTCTAGCACACACACACAAGCACACACTCATGTATCAGGTTATAAGAGTGCAGAAACACATTTGAGAAAATTCTTGACAGCGCATAAACACTTTAACTTAAGTTATTACAGGCATACTTTGAGAGGGCTCATATTACTGCACCCATTTCACAAATGGAAAAACTTATTCAGAGATGTGGAGTAACCTGCCAATGTTAGATCACAAAAAGTGGAATAGAAACCAAGAGTGAGAATCTGACTTCTCAGCCCAGGAACTTGCCAGTGTGTGCTCTAAGCTCCTCTCAGAAGGTGAGCGGAGTGGGGCAGTGGTAAAAATCCTCATCTTTTAAATCAAAGCCAATTGCTTGCCATTGGGTTTGTATTAATTTCTGTATTTTGACAAAAGACCCTTTGAATTTATCACAGAATATCCCCACACAGACCTCTACTAAAATAGAAGGCCACCATCGTTATGAGAATGTACTACTTTTCTCTTGCTTGAACTATCAACTTGTATACATTACCAAGAATAAGGAATGTAGTTAAAATGGCTCAAAATCTATTATCTTATTATTATTACTATTATTATTATTGTTATTATTATTATTGAAAGGATATCCTGTTCAGAGAAAAATATTTTCCAAAATGATACTGGAAAAGTTTTACAAATTGTATGTTCACAAGAATTTAATTTTATATTTCTGGGTTTTTTTATAAATTATTTTTATACTTTTTCTAGTAAGAGAAATACTTTAAATTATTGACAAAAGGGAACAAGAAAGGAATAAGAACAAGGAAGAAGAGTGAACCTGTGAAAGGGTGTAGCATATAAGTGAGTAAGGAAGGCAACAGCTTTCTGTGACAGTAGGTTCACCCCAAAGCTAAAGAGAGCTTTTAAAAGCTCCATCCAGCCCTGGCTGGTGTAACTCAGTGGATTGGCTGTGAACCAAAGGGTTGCTAGTTTGATTCCCACTCAGGGCACATGCCTGGGTTGCAGGCCAGGTCCCCAGTGGGGGCCATGTGAGAGGCAACCACACATTGATGTTTCTCTCCCTCTCTTTCTCCCTCCCTTCCCCTCTCTCTAAAAATTAATGCAATTCTTTTTTTTTTTTAAAAAAGCTCCATCAAAAAAAAGCTTCGTCCACAGTCTGATCTATCCTGTTCTAGGTAGATTCATGCCTAGGTTCACCCTGTTTTTGGTAGACCCTGGGAATGAAATGCTTCTAATAGAGCAGTGTGTGTCAGGGACCCAGCCAACTGTAAACTCTCTCCTTATTGTGCCTTAGCATTTTTGGTAGTTCAAATTCATGGGTAAAAGGAACCACAAAAGAACATCCCCCAGAGCTTATCTGTTTGCCTTGGGTGACCCCATGTCTCAGTGAAAGACAAGATTTCATAGAGACAACACCTCAACAGAGTGTCTCCCTCATGCTTTCTTCAGAGGTCCCCAGGTCTGCACACCCGAGCGGGGCTGTGATAACAGGAATGCGGTTTGGGATCTCTCCACAGAAAGATGGGAACTGGTAGACAGGCCAAGAACCCCTCCTCCATCCACTGCCACTCAGGTGCAAATCAAACACTCTGATTCCCAGCCTACTTTTCCTAGGCATAGCATAGAAACAAACCCCGGTAAGAAGATAGGCAGTTATGTTTTTGCCTCTAGGACTGAATTTGTCAAGGTCCTGGGAGAAGCAGGAAATTCAATGATCTGTCTGAGAACCACTTTTAGGAGAATCGCATGAAAAACTTAATAAAAATTAACAAGGGTTTCACAGGGTCTGCTCCAAACTATCATAAAAAATTCTTGGAGTGGGGACTCAGGAATCCCATTTTTATTAAGTTTCCCAGATGCCTTCAGTGCATTTTAAGAGATGAGAGTCACTGCTTGACCAAAATGCATGTAGGATGACCAAAGGTTATGTGAATGTTGATCCCAGCATGTATTTGGGGGTCCCCTGAGGACAGGTAAATTCAGTTTCTACACATTTGGGATCTCTCCAGAACTTTGCGTATCATCCATGCCCACTGGATTATTATGATCAATTGACTTGAATTTCTCTTACACGCAGAAACAATGGCTTATTATCTTTATGTCTTTGTACATCCCTTGTC